GTAATACACCATGACACCAAAACATCATTATTTTGTGTCAGCAGAGAGTACTGTAAATGAGCTTTAAGGGTGGCCCTTTGCTTGAAACGTCTGCTTTAAATTCAACTTTAACCCCAAAGTAGAAGTCTGCGTTAAGATAGACACATTCCTTGGAGGAGTTCCTTCCGTGCAGGCCCTTCGAGGCATTACTACTCATATTAACCAGAGCTAACGTTCACCAGTATATTTCACCAGTCTTTTAATAAAATATCAGATTGCTTTCCAGGTCTCGATACAATACCACATCACTTTGGTTGGTTCGCAGCCAACCAATCGTAAGCTGAGCCTCGCAAGACATAGGTTAAGTTTACCACATGCTCAAATGCAGAGTCAACAGTCAGTTTTAATTTAGCAATCGGTATATTTTTTACTCAACATATGATCGCTTGTGTCAGCGCTAGCATGCGCTTCAAATTGACAGCACAATCTGCATGACCAGTCAGCGGATACGGATCGACCTTAGGTGCCTCTAATGCGAATGGAATCCATTTCTTAGATATTCAACCCACGCATTTCTTCTTGCGTGATGTTATTCTAATAAATGAACCACTTTTCATTTGGAACAAAGAGATAATTCTGTTGTGGAAAGGTATCCCAAAGGACTGAGTGAGTAAGAGAGAGAGAGCTAGAGCTTTAGTGTTCTAGAATGTTTTTATTGAAGGCCTTAAGCGATTACTTAACTATTACAGGGTGCCCTTTCGAAAAAGCTCAGAATGTGTTAGTTTTAATTTGTTTTTAGTGGTAGTTTTATTAACCTGTGCTAACCTATAAAGAGATGATCGAAAAAGCGTGTGGGAGGGGCAAAAACTAGTCGCCTGCCTTTCCCGTTGCCTCTACTTAGCTTTTAATTACTGTCTCGGTTGACCAGTTTGCCTGCAGTTGTTGGATACGCATATAGTTCAACTAATGTTGTTAGTGTCATTGCTTACCGAAAAAGATTAACCTCCTAACGTGAGTTCAATGCAGTTACTTTGTCTTCCGAGCGTAGCTTCTATTTACGTAAAAAACAACATAACTCCAGTGTGTCATGTTTATCATGTGGAATTTCAACATGGTTCACTTGGTGCAGTATTTGGACAACCCATTTTGGGCAACAATTAATGATTGGAAACCATTTTCCATTTGAATTCATGACCCAAGGGCGTAGATAGGGGAGGGGGGGCCTGGGGTATCCGTGACCCACTCCCCCCCCCTCATTTGAAAGTATTTTTTAAGTAAAACACGGGGTGAAGGTCGACATGACAATCTGGTGAGAACCCCCTGTTACACCGTGTGACCCCCCCTCCTTGAAAAATCCTAGTTACGCCCCTGTATACGCTCAAATGAGAGTACTGCATTCTATTGTGGCTTAATTCTTGAGGACAAATTCACTCCCTCGGTCCCACTCACAGCGTTGTCTTTCTTGTTTCCCCCTTCCCTTTGCATCACACTGTAGGCTATCGTGCCTGCCATGGCAAGCTCAACGAGGCGAAAGCCCGATTGAAAAGCTAGCCAGGGCCAAGGAGAGGGATGAACAACTTTGCTGTACAAACCGTATACGCCCACCATGGAATAGAAATTCAACGCACAAACAGCAATTCCCAGGATGCTCGTGCCAATGGTTATCTTAGCCACTTTAGTTGTGCTAGACTTTACTTTCTTGTTTCGCAGTCGCTCGTTTTTCTCAATCGAATTCAGTTGCTCGTGAACGTTTTCCACTCGCCTGATAACTTTGCATCCGCTGTAGATGAAGCTACCAGAAAGCAGTAAGCCCCAGAGAATGAAGAAAGACTGGCACACGATCAACAGGGGGTCCAGTTCTGGCTTCATGGAGGCGGACGTCTCTGCGACCAATACAATGATAAAGTGGATCACAACGACAACAGAGATAAATTTCACATTCTGCAGCTTGTTTGGACCAACTTTCAGCTTAGTAACCTCCAGAAAAGCCAGATGTATCAAACAAAACGAGGAAGTTAGACATGGAAAAGCGATTCCAAAGAGAAGTAGTGTCATCCACTGTGGATCCTGCACGCCATTTTCTCTAGATTCGTACGGATCTAACAATAAATACACGGATCTGGTTAATCCGAGCACAAGGAGCATCACGTTTATGGCCACAAACAATGGCTTGCGAGCGAATCCTCTCCTATGATTCACCATCACTATGGCAACGAAGGAATGAACGGCCACCAAGCCAAACAAGATACCGAACCCAACCCAGTGTAGCTCCCATGCCAAGCCCCAAATTTTCTTCGCAATTGGCCAATCAGGGCCCGGTTCGGCTACGGCTGCAGTTGTCGGCTGTTCAACGGATTTACTTTTAAAATTCGACATTAGTGATAAAGGTCTGCAAATCAAACATAAGAATGCTCATTTCTTTAATGTGTATTTCCATCGCGGGTAAAGCACGTTCTGAATGGTGTTTGTTTCCTGAGGACGAATTTACTTTTGATAGCCATTTCCATCACGATTACTTTATGAAATGATAGACAAAACTTTGTTCTGAATTTCATTTTCTATTTAACATAAGTTAGAATTTCTCAATTAAAAAGGCAATCTTTCTATGATTTTTTAAATCATTCGGAAACAGTCAAGATGCATGGAGAAGAAGGAGGTAAGAGATAGACTGATGATAGTGGTGCTGATGGAAAATCAATAAAACTACACAAATAAGGCAATAACCACGGAAATGGACACAATTCATAATCCTAGTTTGAATATCGTCCATTACGGGTTAATTAATATGCATTCTATCTCAGTTTTTTGATGCGTTTCCGTTATTCTTTGATGCGCTCGTTTTTTTCAGTTAACAGGAACTATACAAACAAGACACTGGACGAGAAAATGTTATGCTAATAATGTAAGGTTTTAAACTCGATGCAAATTTACAATAGAAATTAATTGACCATGAGCATATCTCGAATTGCTTTACATTTATGTGAACGAGGCTGGACAAATGTGAATAAGTCTTCAAATGCAGGCCTGTGTTATGCAGATAAGGAAAAATTTTCCGTATACTAATTTGGGCCTCATGAAAAGTGATAAAAATGCCAACTTAGGAAACCGCCCTTAACCTTATCTATCTCACCTCCTTGTTTTCTACTGGTTTTTTCGACTTGAACGCTTTCGAAAGGTCCTACTCATCAACGATTGATTAAAATAGCGTCTAAGAGCAATATTTATTTGCCAAAAAGGATGAATGACGTCGTGGGCGGAATACATTCACAGCGTTAAAACTTGGGAAACTGTAATTTAGAGTTTGGATTGACATTTTCATTGGTGTCCACGAGGTGAAACTGACTATGACGGAAATGACTAATGATGAAAACGTAATTATAACACCACAGGTGTCATATATGATCGACGTTTCATGCGCTTTGCCAAAACTGCATATTTAAAGTGTGGGTTCGCATTTTGAAGTTAAAAGTTACTTTGTAGAATGCAGCCCGAGAGATATCAACGCCCTTCGTCAGTGTTTGTTCCTTAAAATGTAGGCCAGCTAGAACCACGAGGAAAAGGAACTTTACCGAGATGAACGGCACTTCTTTTTTTTTTCTTCCTCTTCACTCTATTTGCATAAACATAAGATAAGCTCATATCACACACACACTTGGCTTATAAATTATGTTTTCATTTCTTCAGTTTTCGCTCTCAACTTCTTTCTTTTGAAACATATGAGCATCTAAAGCTTATAATTTCTTAACTTACGGCTCAGTATTGAAGATCATCCATTCAAAATTTTCAATTAATTCGCGCTTGACAAAGAACGTCAGCAACATAACTTTAATTTCCCTTTACAAACAACTCATGTTTCATTCAACAACTACCTCTAACACCGCCGAATGACTCTCGAATGACAAATTTCTGCTTTTGAGACTACCTTCTTTATTTTCAAATCTTATCTGAAAATGATGACTTAATGGAACTTTAACCAATCCCGCGTAAATTTCTAATTTTGTAATGGAATTTTCGGAATCACTTTTTAATAAAAGAGATGACGAATGTGGAATATCAATTAAGTAGTTCTTACGTTCTCAAGGTGGCTGTCACCGTAAGTTTTTCAATTGTCTAATCAACTTTCCAATCACTTCATAAAAATCAACCCACGCTTAGGCTTTCAATTAAGTGTGACAAAAGCTCTAAACAACAAATCCCAAGTTCACTCTTATACCTCAAGCTAGCAAAAGTTTTATTGACAAGAAAATTGAAATTAAACTGTGTTTTAAGTTTCGAAAAAAAAAAGAAAATTCAAATCAATTACAGATGTGATACACTTTTCATTTACTTTATTCTTTGTCAGCACGTACGTGTGCTATACTTTATGAATACCTTTAATAATTAATACTTGAAAACTGAGAAAAGGTAGGGGTATTTTTAATTAAAAAGGGATACAAATCCAGAAACCAAACTCATCGGTTATTTCGATTCTTTAGGGAAACATTTTTGAACGGAAGAATATGACATCTGAAATGGAGAAAGACCGTCGGTCTCGTGATCGTTATCCGTGCCAAAAGAGCTATCCTGAAAAATCTGTGTAGAAACTTGGCAAACAAGCTAAAAGAAGCAGGGATCATAAAAAAAGCTTCAAATTAGCTTAAACACCCACTTGAAAAGACCTCAGGGCAGTATTCAGCAGAGTTTGTGAATTAAAAATGAAATAGAATAAGAATTGATTGCATGAGTGTGGGCTGTCCAGATAAAGCTGAATCCGTCGAAGGAAAGTGTTTTGAGATGAGGGCGCAGCGCATGAAAGAATTGACTCTAATAATCAATTAAAAGTGTTATCAGAAATCGATCTGTTTAAATCCTTTTTCTGATAACTCTCATGATGTGTGATTCATTCTGAAAGTAAGACCAATGGTAATCAGGTATCGTTTGAAGATTCAGTTCCATATTTAGAACAAAACCGTTTTCAACAAAATCATATCTAATTTTCGAACTAATTGTTTCTTGATATTGGTATAAAATGCGCATAATTTCAAAAAGAAACTCGAAAATTGGATGCCTTCATTTTTAAATATTCTGGTATGTTTCAAAACTTCAAGACTTCCTTTTTTTAGTTCAGTAGGTTGAATGAAGTTCGGCTCGGCTCTTAGGCATTGGAGTGGTGCGATCGGTTTCAATCGGCGTTCCCTCGTTGGGCCGAAGTGAGTACATGATATCATATCCTTAATTTAAAATTGAGGAATAAAAGGAAAATTTGATTGGCAGATTTTGTTGTTAGTTATCTGAAGTTAGTGCAACTAAATTATCGTAGTTTGAAGTCACTGCCATGCTACAGTCAAGTAACCTAAGGATCAAATTCATTTCAGTTCGGTATTGGGGTAACACGATGTTTGTAAAGGGCTCAAGACTTCAGCCGATAGTTCACAGCGGTGATATTACCGTCACCGTGTCATGGTCCAAGGAATAAAGAGAGGTAATTAGGTGATAACAAGCTATAAAAAATACGATCAATACATACACAGGTTCTCGTGTAATGGAATATTTCCGTATCGTCAGTCTAAGTTTGAAAACGTGCGCTAAATAGGACAAAAAAAGGGCTCTAACACCCAAAGAATATCACACCGCAAAAAAGAATCGATTATTATTTAGATAAATTCTTCTTGTAGCCTTTGTTTTCACTTTATAAATGATTCAGAGATTGCTATGTTCATAAACTGTCGGAGTCGGCATTTCGTCAATTTTTGTGCATGCATGATTTCGCTAATTTGCACTCACCAGCAGTGCGGCATACCGAGTCATCTTCATGTTACACCTCTACTCACCTGTTGCAAATCGGTGCGACTGTTGCTTAATCTAAAATGAATATCCAATTGCATGGTTCATGGTATAATTTAAGTCAGTTTTGACTACTTCTTTCAGGAAACGGTTTAAACAGTTTTATTGATAAATCACAGCTGCTAATAGTAACAACTATTTTTGGTGAGAGGAAGGAATCATTCGTCCTCATCATATTGGCGTGGCCGGAGCAGTAACAGATTTATGAACCCCTTATGTATGACGAGTGAGCAGCCTTCCTCAAAAATCAAGATCTTATTTCAGGCAAAATCGCCTTTATAAAATTAACTTGGATAACATGATAAGGAAAATGGCCAAAGATAGTCTGTTCACCACAGGAAAATGCCATCCGGTGTCGTCAAAAACCCACGCGAACAAATATAAACTTGTCTTCATCACAAAGACGCGATAAATCATGTTTGTATAAACTTGGTTTATCGCTGAAAACTTGTCAAAAAGGCTAATACACCTTTGATAAGTATTTTTTTGAGATACTGATCAAAACCTGAACTGGGTTTTAACACGCAAAAAAAAGCCAACGTTAGGGTTCGCCAATTTTAACATAATAGTTTCTCGGCTTTGAGGTTGTCCAAATACAAAACATCTAACGTTTATTTTTCTCTCTGAAAGATGCTGACGTCTCTTTCGCATCATTGGTTCAAGCTTGAATAAAGTTCTTTTCATCTACTCTCTATTGCGTTTTAAAAACTGATGTGATCTAATCCTGCATCCTAAACTTCGTTGCGTTTTTGCTCTGACCGAGAAGAACAGGATCAGCATAGCCAAGTTGTTTCTTTGATCCGAATTCCTTTTTTACAGTCGCACTTAATAACAGTGAACATTTAGCTTACATTTGATACAAGGACTGAACACGAGGTAAGTATTGACATCTTCCGAAGTAACTTGAAGAAATGTTATGTTATACTGATTGATAACACTTATCACCGTATTCAAGTTAGTTTCTTCAAAAGGAGCTCGTTGATTCAAGGAAAGAAATTAGGTGGGAAAAGAGAATGTGTTCTTTGTAAAACAGAAAAGAATCGACTTAAGGATGCAAGAGCCCAAGAGAGCTCCAATCTCGACCTCCTCTGAACTTGGCATTCGATACTTATCGTGCAATCAATTTCTTTCTTCCGGATAAAGCCTAGCCTTTAGTGTGGTCGTGAACATCACTTAATTGCAACAGGACAACTTTCTGATATATTAGGAGATGAATCATCGAAACGAAAAAGAGATAAGAGTTTGGATAAAACTTT